GGGGGGGGATAAAAAATGGGGATGCAATGGACTGGAGCTATCAATGGATGGCCGCGATATAACGAACAACGCTCCATCCGTAATAATGGTTTGTACCTAATTGATGATCTCCCTCTCAAAAAAAAGACAGAATTTCAAAATGTAAGCAAGCCGCGACCCCGCCCATGTGGCTCAATAAAAAGACAATTTCAGAATGTAAACAAGCCCCGATCCCGGCCATATGGCTAAATGGAACACACATATAACTGACGATGCCTTCAAAAATAGGGGACAAAAGAGGAATCCCAAGGAACTCTCGAGTCAAAGATAATCTCTTTCCTCAGAGAGCAGCTCGGACGTCAGACGTATGGGCTCGTCTACCCTCAAGACAGGAGTAGTGACCACAAAGCATCGGCCCACAAAATTGGAGAGGAGGACAGGTCAGGCGCCGATTGAGAAGGGGGGAAAAGGTGGGAAGCAGAGAAGACAAACGAAAGGGGAGAGGAGAAGTGGAGAGGGGGGGAAGAAAAGGACAGAAAGGACAAGGGAAGGGAAGGAAAGGGAAAGATTAAGAGAACGGCAATCAATGAAAGGGAGAAAAAAAAAAAAGACAGAAAACGAGAACAGCGAATGTACAGGACAGGGACTGGAAGGTCCAGCACATAAGAAAGAAAAAGCTCGAGGGAGGAAAAAAGAAAAACTCGCGGGAGACAGAAGAAGACGAAAGGGACGGCAATGAAGCCAAAGACCAAGCAGCGACAAAGAGGAGGAGGAGGAAAGAGCCACAAAGAGGAGGAGGAGGAGGAAAGAGCTGGAGTGGGAAGAGATTAAACAACTCGAAAGACCAACAAACAAGTACATGTAATTATGACACGGGGTCTACGATGCACATTCAATTCAGGGCAATGCTCTATTACTCAGGCCATGTATAAATTCCAAAGAATTGCCATTTCTTTTTTCCGGAAACAGAATCTTTTTTTTTTTTTTCTTCCGGAAACAGAATCTTTTTTTCTTTCTTTTTTCCGGAAACAGAATCTTTTTTTTTTTTCCCGGAAATAGAATCTACTGTAGGCAAACACATTATTCAAATCCAGAATTCCTCAGAAATGGAAAACTCCGTCCCAATGCACATGGGAAACGGTACTTCGCGTTCGGGTAGCCAAATCGCCAGATGTCCACCCGCACATCAGTCGAGGTACTCTTAACCCTAGGTACCAACAAGGCACAAAGAACAAGAAGAGACCGCCAAACTCCTCACACGACGATCCGAACTCATCGTGACTACCCTGGTCCACTCGATCATCCGTATCAACGTCGTCTATATGCTCAATAACTAATGGAAATGCTTAACGCAAGGCTAAATTCCCCTATTTGCGCCGTCTTCACTTCTCTTTCATGTTATATGAAAAGGGAAATGCCCCTAAAATTATTGAATCCAGGAGGACTAGTGTTGTGTTTATTAACACGCCTGCGCGTCTACCACACAGCAATGCAGCTGAGATAAACCTCCCGCTCTTTTCACGTCCCATCCATTATTTAACGCCTTCACCGACGCACTACCACATCCCGCTCTTTCTCTACACCGATGCCCTCTCTCCTCTTCGCTCCTCTTCGCCTGAGAAAAAGACCAAAGGATCAAACCCTACCGAAGCTATCGAGAGATTCCGCAGCATGACTTCAGATCCGAATACACCACTGTTCCCGCCGAGACAGCAACCACACCCAATCATCTTCAAATACAACAGCTTTCGCTCCCTCGTTCTAGTGGACATGCAAGAAAAAGCTTATGGTGATGTGGAGGTTATCGACACATTCTCATCTCTACAATAGCCTTATGAGGTTGATGAGGCTATCGACACAATCTCCTCACTACCAGAGCCTTCCTTATTC